CGCCATCAATATGAAATCAAAATACCCGTATACTCGACCTAAATTTTATTCTGGGAAGTTTGGTCATACAAGCACACAGTTTGTTTTTTGTTTTGTTTTGTTTTTTGTTTTTTCAGAGAGGTGGCAACAAAGAATTTGGAAAGACTACTTTAAAGATAGAAATATGAGAAGTTATTTTTTGGGATGGGGAGAGAGTCGTGTCCCTGAAACAGACACCCACACGACCGCAATGAAAGAAGGAGTCAAAGGGAAAGTGAGAAGGAAAGAAAGAATGAAGGGTCGTCAAGAGACGCAAAGAAAAGTGAATGTTATTTAGTAGGATGGTTATATATTACGAATTTCCAAATGAGAAACACCTAGATGGCAGGTATACATTGGAGCACTTAGTTTATCGCGTTCGTCTTTTTTCTTCATTTCCGTTCTTAAAATATCGCCTAAAAGCTTTCCATTTTCGTTCCGTTCCAAATTTGTTTCTGCTACTCGACCGAGTGAAATGTTCCAAATCCCCGCTCGTTTACAGTGTGACCGTAGAAACCTGATTACCACGACTTTTACTTTTTAACAATTTATCGACACCGTTTTAGTGTTGTTGGTGGCTCCCAAAAATGTTTTCAGGAAAATAAAAACATCCTTTTCCAAATTTTGAACGGCTGTAGTGTCAAAGAGTACATTATATTTTGGGGGTTAGCGTTGTGTTTTGGGGCCAGCACCTGGCTCGGATTTAGATACATCTATATGTCTGATCATTATTTGATTGACGCAGAAAAAAAGATGCGTGATCGAAAAGTGACGCCATTTGGCAAAATCACAATCGAATAAAACATTTGAAGCACAATGTGGTTTATTTTTGTACTTTAACAATGAGAAACGGCGGCTTCTGCGAGACTTAATAACGGAGAAAGCAGATAAAATCAAATAGGTTGAATAGCGTTTGCCAATAGTGGATTAAACCAGCAGAGAAAAAAAAACGTTATGGATTTTTAATTTCATTTTTTTTGTCATTTTCATTAAGAAAGATCATTATTCCCAGCTCTCAAACCACAGTTGTCTACACTAAATTATTTTGATCGAGACAGAGATAAGATCCAGATCAGAGATAACCAACCTTTTTTGCGTTCATCGCCAATTTTCACATGGAAAAAAGTTTACGCCCTACAACTGCATAGTAAATATTCCAAAGTATACCATATTTTTTGGTAAAAGTTTGTTACTGGCTCGTAAACTGACTATAATAATCGTAAAAAATACGAAAGAGGGGTAACAAATAACGTTGACGTATGCGGCAGCTGCTACTGCAGTATTTATCATCATCATCATCCTTTGACATCCTTATGGTTGGTAGGAAACTCCATTGACAATCCTTTTCCATAATGTATGATCCTGTATCGCTGTCCCCAGATCCCCGATGTTCAATTCTGTGTCCTGAGCTATGGTGTCTGGGAAAGTTAATTTTTGTTAGAAGACACTTCCAGAAGGGTGCCATAGGAATAAGAATGAGACAATTTCCCTGTCCGCTCGATGGCAGTGGCCGGGAAACTGTAAACGTTTTTGTTTGAGCTGAAGAAAGATTGGTTTCAGTTCTACATAAGTTGAGTTAAGCATTTCATGGGATCTCCAACTGATGTACTGGATTTTTCTAAGAAGATTTGTATATGTTCCATCCAATTGTCTTTCAAGATGAACAGATCATGTCAAAATTTCTGAACCATACTGGCTCAAACAATGTTTGAAATATTTGGACTATAAAAGTATTTACAAACGGAAGCAAACTTGACCAATGAAAACTCTCCCTCTCTCTCTCTCTCTATATATATATATATATATATATATATATATATATATATATATATATATAGTTTTATCGTCAAGGTTAGTTTCAGGGCTAGCGTGGTGTCAAAAATTTAGACGTTTTTTTTTCATAATTATAAAATTAAAAAGTATATACATTATTAGCAATTAATTAAAAATTAAGCCAATAATTCTTGGTCTAACCTCATCGGATTTATATCCGGAAATAAAAATGTTATTTCTTTGAGTGTCAATCACTCTTAAAGAACAAAACAATTTCTAATCGTAGAGAAGACAACGTAAAACCAGTGCAACATCTTTCCCAAGAAAAATTATAATTCACAGATAATAAAGTTAAAGGAATCAATAGAGAATCAGGAAGGGTTTTGTCAGAGTTTTCCCAATCTTTTTTTTTTGCGGCATCAAAAAACTACCAAAATTATTTGTTAAAAGTTTGTTACTGGTTCATAAGCTGACATTATAATGTATAAAAAAAATACCAAAGGCAGGTAACAAATAACGCTGACTTATGCGGCTGCTGCTGCTACTATTATTGATTGTATTAATTAATGAACAAACGAAAGCAAACTTGACCAATGAAAACTATATATATACTTCAGTTTTATTAAGGAAAATTGTAGGGTTAGCGTTGCTAGTGGTGATAAAAATTTAAACGTTTTTGGTCATAATAATTAATTAAAAATTCAGCGAATAATTCTTGTTCTTCCCTTATCTGATTTATATCCTGAAGAAAATGTTATTTCCTGTATTTCAATGTTAATGACTCTTCTCAAAACTATAGAAATTAACAAAATATTCATTTTTTGCAAGGGCATATATCTTATCTAGGAATACGGCTGAGTTATTCCCATTTAACATCGTGTTGTTTTTATACAGATTCTTTACATATCTTTAAATATTTTTAGGGTAGTATACATTGAAATATCTTTTTAATATTCAAAATCCTATATCGACCACCAAAATTTTCAATCGCTCATCGTTTTCAGTTACTCCTCGACCACCCAACAGTTGAAATCGCCCACCAGTAGGTGCAAGGTCCGGGGAGTAAGGTGGGTGGTAAAGTGCCTCTCAGCCACGTCAACGTATGATATTCCCGGACATCCGCACCGCAAGAGGCCTGGCATTGTCCTGGCCGTACAGTACACACTGAGATTAAACAACTCTAGCGCCTGCTTCAGTTCCTGTTGCACACGTTTTAACTGTTGAGAGTAGAGGTACACAGTGATGGTTTGGCTCGTTGGTAGAAACTCACAGTGTACCACTTGTGCACCAATTACAGAGCATGATCTAGCGTTCGTGTAGAGGTGGTTTTCTGATGTGAAACACGGGGTCTCGTGGCACGATTGGGAATGGCATTGAGGAACCACTTTTCGTCTATGTGAGATGTTGAGTGTTTCCCTGTGCGTGTATTGAAATAAGGACAAACACATACGTAGGGAAAAATACTGGTATATCTGAAGAGGTATTTACAACAGAGAGATTAGTAGTCAAACGAACGCAGGTTAGTCAGTAACAATCAGAAAGAGTATAAAGTCCAACTGTATCGTCTGGTAGAGAGACGGAAGTGTGATGGTCACCTGATCTCCTCAGAACTCTATAGAACTGTCCTATTAGTAGTAGAGAGATCAGTCCAGTCTGATGAGAAGGTGGGTGGCCCAAACACTATGGTAAGAACACGATGAAATACGGGTACTTTGCCGGGAAAGCAACGATTCTCAGAGTGTCACACGTTGTTGCATGTTGGCTTCCATCAGTGTGTGGGGTACCCACTTGCTCAACATGTACGTCCTCCCTGTGCAGTGTAGTTGAAGTCTGATTATTTCAGTAGAAACCTGGACGTGTTTGGTAAGCTCACCACTGGTTTGGCTGTTTTCCTTTTCTATGGCTGCCTTCAGGGACTCATCATACATGGCTCACGTGTTCGGTCCATGTTATCCTCAGCAACTTTTCTGTAGAACCACATTTCTGTTGCTTCAAATCTAAAAAAGTAAACTAGATATTGTTATGGGACCCTACCCATAATAACATAATGGACTATTCCATACGTAATAAATATTGCGCCTCAAGAAGAAACAGTGAGTTCAGCCTGAATTCAGGCGACCGGCTGATCGGTTGAACTCTCTGACTTCGGGCGGGGAGGAACCCGAACAAGGCTACGCCGAAGGGCGGATTCTCTTTCGGGGAGGTAAACCGACCCTGAACCCGTTTATAAGGGTTCAATGGGCATATTTTGGGCCGAGCCCACAGGCTCGGAGATCCCACGTTAAAAAGGCCTTGTACCACATGACGCCCTCGTGGGAGGGTGACTGAATATCGTTCAGTCTGAAGTCTGGAGCGAGCGAGTCAGTCAGTCGAGTCAAAGGCAATCCGAAACAGAGTCTACTAATTACCACTAAATCTGATTGTTCGTACTAACACCCTCTACTTCTCTGTATATATTCCTGTTTGTAATATATCTGTGTTATTCCATATCCGCCTTCGAGTTCTTGTTTATTGGTTCTACCTTGGACTATCACCGTGGTACAAGGAACCGGACCATAACAGATATTAAAAATGAAAAAAAAAGAAAGATAAAAGCTGATTTGGAATTGGTTAATATCTAATTTATATTTTGACAAAGTTAAATTTAAAATAAAACCATAAACCAGTTAACATGAATCGTGTTTAAACTCGCTCGATTTTCATGCAAAACATTTTTTTAGTCGTCAGTCGATCGCGAATAGTATAAATTTCCCAAATTGTTTCGTATATTTAGCATTGTTCTGAATGCGAACTGCCAAAATAATTTATATAACCAATTCCAATTATTTTGACACCTTAACCGTTTTTACATAAGATCTGTATTTGAATTGATGACAGTCGAAAAGATATCAGACAAGTTTAACGATTTCATCAGAATATGATAAAAGGTTGTCTTCAAAAACTCACCAGTATTTTAATTACTACGACTGCCAATGAATTATTTGATTGTTTTTCTTCTCTTTTAATGTCAGTCGTACGGCAAAGTTTTATTAATAGCGCTTCGAGGTTCTTTTCCCCAGAAAGATGTAGCATTATTAAGTATTGATGAAGCATCAAATGAAGTGGAAAATGTTGTCCAGTGGTTGACATGAAATAATTTCATGATTCCCGCTCGCTTCCAGGCTGCTGCCATCAAGTTTTGAATATGATAAGATGAAAGAAATAATCACAGGAAAAAGAATTGAAAGAAATAGAGAGGAAGAAAGTTAATATAGGGAAAGAGATAATGATAGAAGACAAGTAGAAAAAGAAGAAAGAAAGAAGATGAAGAAAAGAAAGTGAGAAAGAATAAGAAGAAAAAGAAGAAAAGAAAGAAAAAGAGAAAGAATAAGAAGAAAAGAAAAGAGAGAGAAAGAATAAGAAAAAGAAGGAAAGAAAGAATAAGAAGAGAAAGAAAGAAAAAGAAAAAATGCAACAAGAATTAAAGCGAACAGACGAAGAAGAAAAATAACTATAACAGACGATAAGTAGAAAACAATGATAGAAAAGAAGAACGAAAAGAAAGAAAAGAAGAAGCGCTCGACGAGAAGAAAAAGAGAATTAAATAATTAAAAGAATTAGAAAAAAGAAGAAAAGAAGACTGGACAAGGAAGAAGAAGAAGAAGAAGAAGAAGAAGAAGAAGAAGAAGAAGAAGAAGAAGAAGAAAAGCCCGTCTGTTGAGAATAGAGAAAAAGAAGAGATAGAAAAGAAGAAAAAGAAAATAAGATACTGATCAGAATAAAAAGAAGTAAAACAAGCTGAAAAGTAAAAAAGCGGAAAAAAATGAAGATGAAAAAGAAGTAATAAGAAGGAGAAAAAGAATGGACAAGCAACAAGGAACAGAGGAAAAAGAGAAAGAAAAAAAATCATCTATTTAGAATGTAGAAAAAGAAAAAAATAGAAAAGAAGGAAAAAGAAAAAGAAAAAAGTGACGGATGAGAAGAAAAAGAGAAAAATAATGGAAGTGAAGTAGCAAAAGAAAAAGAAGATGAAAAAGAAGTAGAAAAAGAAAAGAAGAGACTGATAAAAAGAAAAAGAAGAGAACAAATAATAATAAGAAAGATAGAAGAAAAAGAAAACGAAGAAAAAGAAGGAAGAAAAGAAGAAAAGACAGAGGAGAAGAAAAAAGTAGAGAAAAATAACAGACGATAAATAGAAATCGGAGAGATAGAAAAAAAGAAAAAAAGAATCGAAAAGAAAAAAAGAAAACATGTCTTTCGATTCAGTTTAAAGCCAAGATTTTCATCGGGAAATTGTTTGTTTATAATGTCATATAATAAAGTGTGTGCATCGAAAGGAATGTGCGTGTCATTGTGTATCTGTAAGTATGGGTAATTTATCGTATGCATTCGTCTGTGTTTTTCAGTGTATATATGCGTGTGTCTATATGTATTGCAGGTGCTTATTTATGTATATATCTCTTTCTATTCTATGCGTATGCGAGTTACTTTGTGTCTCCTTTTGTGCCTGTATAAATGCATCTGTGTCTATGATTGTCCATATGTACGTGCTTTGTACATATGGGTATGTACTTGAATTCGTATGTGTATGTGTAAGTCTATTAACAAGTGTGTCCATCTGTTTATGTGAATAGGTCTGTGTCTATGTATCTCTCTCTCTCTCTCTCTCTCTCTCTATATATATATATATATATATATATATATATATATATATATATACAACAGATCCTAGCAAAAAAATAGGTTAATCATATACTACACTAAATCTAGTATATCCAACTTAATTGTTCGCGATGATTCTCCCTCCCTCCCCGTTAGCGATTTGCAAAACAACAACCTACTTTACAAATTCAAGTGCCCTTTGGGAGATTGTATCTCCAATGGATTAAATAATATTTATGTTGGTCACACCACAAACTCGCTTTCACGAAAAACTAAAAATACTTGAAGCAAAACATAAAACAGTTGAAACCTAATCTGAACAAAATAATCTACGAAATCTCCACAAACATTCTTAATTCTATAATTGACAACAGAAGCCATTGATTTATACCAACGGCTTTCCATACATAATACTTCTCGTTTTCACTGTCGCGTGGTCATGTGTGACGTCACGAGCTGCGTTGCGATTTTCGCTTCCGTTGCTTTAAAATTTTTCACGCAACAAAAACAGACTTTTCAATTTCGCGCATGCGCGTTGTTTTGTTTTTTTTTTTATTTCGTCGACTGCACAGTATAGAAGGCTCAGTTGGGCCCTGTTCATGAGAAAAGGTTCACCATGACGCAAATCATTCCAACAGAAAGTAGGGAAAAACGGCATGCTGTACTGCTTGTCATTCACGTCGAACATCCAATACGAACATTTCATAGTATTTGGGTAAAAATCTGAGGATAGTTTACAGGATTTGGAAAGAGTTAGTTGAGTCTAATAGTGATTACGTAGATACCGTATCTCGAAAAACTCACTCTGATCATAATGATGAGAAAGGAACTCGTGCATTTGTTGATGAGGGCATCAGACTTAACCCGGAAGCCCACACCAAGTGCCATACAGAGGTAGTACTGCCCTGGGTCAAGAGGGCGACTGCTGGAACAACCTATGGCTGGCAACAAGACTACTGCCCTATGCCGCACAAGCAGAACCTAGTCATGACTGTCAGACAATTTCTGCGACCAAATCACCCCTTGAATCTGGCCATCCAAATCCCCAGACTGCAACTCCCTTAATTATTATGTGTGGGGCGCAGGTGAACGAGAGACCAACAAAATTGCTTCTAATACCAAAGATGAACTGAAACAAGGATTAAAGCAGCTTTCATCAATTTAAACATGGAGACCGCCGATAAAAGTTGCAGGAGATTCCGAAGTCGTATGGAGGCTGCGATTGAAGCCAATGGCGATTTTATTGAATAAATTTACTCTTTAGTATTTCAAAATATTTTTGTGCAATTTTGGTAAATATATCTGTGAAAATGAGATGTCAGTGTTTGCGCATCACTTGGACGACAGTTTGTCCATTGCACCCTGTACTGGTTTTTGTGACGCATCTGCAATAATGCAATTAATTATTTTGTCTCAAAAATCATTACTTCCCAATGGTTTGTTTGTGAGTAACGATTTTCATCACTTCAGAACAAGGTTGAAAGGCACACACGTTTTGGATCTATCAAATAAATTCCCTGTGTTCAGTCGTAAACAATTTGTTTCTTTTTTTCTCAAATCATTAAAATCTTTATTCGTGCACATAACTGCAACATTTAATGTATCCAAAGGAAGTTCTTAAGTCTAAGTTACCTGTTTATATATATAATAAATAAATCCTAATAAGTCAGGTACTAACTTCCTAGGTTTAACCACATGGGGTCATCAGTGTGAACTAGCCAGCTCATCCTGATGATCCCGTGTGTAGTACCTGGCTCATTAGGATTTATTTCCATTATTTACATTATTCGGACTATTGTCCTCATCTTTGTCCCCATATTTATCACAACGTTTCGGCCGTTGTACGCTCCGGCCTTCTTCAGGTGGTTGGAATGTCGAACAGAACCCTTTATTTCGCTCATCGGGGTAGACTGTTCTAGTTCCACGTGCCATGTTTGATGGATGTCAGTTATCAGTTAATCTCCTGTTAATTTCCCTCTGAACGTTCTCCACTGCGTTAACCGGGTATTGTACTGGTACTCTTTGGGTCCTGTCCCTGGATCTAAGCAACGCTTTTATCCACTGTGCCATGTGTCCTTGTGAGCGAAATAAAGGGTTCAGTTCGACATTCCAAACACCTGAAGACGGCCGGAGCGTACAACGGCCGAAACGCTGTGATAAATATGGCGACAAAGATGAGGACAATAGTATGAATAATGTAAATAATGTACATAATGCCTCATCTCAGAAATGTAGACAGACTCTGTAGGATTTATTTATTTTACTTTTGCTCTGCTTAGTTTACTGAGCACTCTTTGTTTGAACGATTTCTTTCGCCCTGTTCGTTGGAGGTTTCTGGTGCTTTCTTTTTGTCTCATTTTTCCTCGGATGCCAATTTATTTGAAAACTGTGCTACCCAGTTTTTTGGGCCGAAACTAGTCGAGGAATCTAAATGAAATAATAATAAAAAAACGAAAGGATATTAATCTACAACCCAGTGTGTCTGAAGATTTTAATTTTTTAATATTTTTTTATTGATCAATTTATATATATATATATATATATATATATATATAGTCTTGGAGCGGGTAGAATGAAGATCAGCGTGTTTTAGTGAACTTAACAGCTTTCAAGAATCGTCTTCAAGAAGCGAGAGCAAGATCTAGAAGGTCAGCCAACCTAACGGTGATCTCATCTCACAAACCTCACTCTTCCTCCATATAATACCTTCTTTGGAAATCACTAGCGGGTCTTAAGTGCAACTTAAGATTATCGCAAAAAAAATTCATAACTGAATCAATTAAGTTGTCAGATCCTCATACGCCGAAATCGACGAGAGAGTCATTATATATATATATATATATATATATATATATATATATATATATATATATATATATGAACATGTCATTGACAGTTTGTACGAGACAGTTGCTGGAGCTCTAATTGTCGACCTCTGACTCCGGACAGATACAAACGGCAGAGTCTCATCTGAAGAGGTAGACAGCAACCCGACCCCGTGTATACGATGTCTACGGGCAATTTTTGTCTGAGCTTACGGGGTCGGAATCGCCCCATTAAAAAAACTGCCTTGTGCCACATCTCGCCTTGTGAGAAGCTTTTGGATAAATACCGAGATTTTCGCTGTTATTAGGTCAGTGATCCTAATTATTATATTAACCAAATTATACCTGCTCCCAAAAATAACAGCTGTGTCATTCATATGAAGGAGACGGAAGTATACATCACAAAATAAATATAAATAATATTAGAGTAATTAACGAAATAAAAATGATGCATTCATTCAGTGAAGGCTTTTCATATTGTGCAGTAGTCATTGCTGCAGATCAGTGTCGATTGTAATTATGGATAAAGGCGTGGAAATATAACAAAAAGATGCTTCACAAGGAGGACGGATATTTTGAGTCTTTGAAATCTCGGGGCTGTACAGAATGGATGACAATAAACACTTCAATGAATCCATGACATTACTAGATTTTTTTTTTCAAGATGATGTACTGCTTATTGTATATGATCTTTTTTATCTATTAATATGGTACCGGAGAGTTTATTTTTAAGTGTTAAGAAAGCGTGTGCTTTTCAATAAACAAAAGTGTGAAGACATTTATTTTTGCCGAGGGCTTATTATTCTTGCTTGCGCATGCGTAAAAGACGAGAGTGCGGAAGTGTGTATTTGAAGCTGGGAAGGGTGTTTTATTTTTTATAGTCTTGATAAAACGCAGACACTATGGTAAATAAACGTCTATCTTGTTTTCTACAAAAGCTTTGCCTTATTTAAGACTTTTTTTCATTAAAATAACACTGCGGATTTCAAAAAAAAAGAACATTTCTTTCGCTTTTTGCGTACAATGACTCAGCAGATATGGAGATCTAAGCCTTTTATATCCTTCCATTTTTTTTTCTTTCAAATTTCCTTTTTTCTTGTTTTTTACATTCTTTTTTTATTCTTCTTGCTCATCTACTTTCTGAAACAGATTCTTGACTTTGTCTGTCCATTCTTTGTGTGCTTATTTTTTCTTCTTTTTCTGCTTTTTGTCTTCGTTTTTTTTCTTCTGATTCTTTTTTTACTTTTCTTCGTTTTCTGCTTCGCTTCTGTTTCTTCTTTCCTTTTTTCTTTTTTCTTTCCCTTCTCTTTTCTTCTGCTTCTTTTCTTTTTCTTTTTTTTTCTTCCTCTGCTTCGTTTCTTTTTTTTTTCTCTTTTTTCTTCTGCTTCTTTTATTTTCTTTTCTTATTCTTCTTTTCTTTTTCCTCTTTTTTCTTCTGCTACTTTTCTTTTTTTCTTTTTCTTCTACTTCTTTTCTTTTTCTTTTCTTTTTCTTCTTTTACTTCTTTTCTTTTTCTTTTACTGCATCTTTTCTTTTTTTTCTTTTTCTTTTTCTGTTTCTTTTATTTTTTCTTCTACTGCATCTTTTCTTTTTTCTTTTTCTTCTTCTTCTTTTCTTTTTTCTTTTTCTTCTTCTGCTTCGTTTCTTTTTTCTTCTTTTCTTTTTTCTCTTTTTCTTCCGTTTCTTTTCTTTTCTTATTCTTCTTTTCTTTTTTCTCTTTTTTCTTCTGCCTCTTTTCTTTTTTTCTTTTCTTTGTCGCCTTCTTTTCAGTTTTTTTTTCTTTTCTTTTTTCTCTCTTTTCTTCTGGTTCTTTTTATTTTTCTAATTCTTTCCCGTTTCTTCTTTTTCTTCATTTCTTCTTTCTCTTTTCGTCTTCTTTTGTTTCTTCTTTTTATCTTCTTTTTCTACTGCCTCTTTTCCTTCTTTTTTTTCATTTCTCTTCTTTTTTCTTTCCCTCTTTCTTCCTCCTGCAAGTTTGTTAATGATTTTTACTTTCCTTTTTTTTCATTACTGTCCTCCCGACTCTCCTCCTCCTCCTACTCTCGCTTCATCTTCTTCTTCTTCCTCTATTTTTTATACTCTTTCAGGTCTGTTATTGCGTCTCTGTTATTTTTTCATTTCTCTCCTCACCCCTATTTCTTCTTCTCTTTCCCTCTTTTTCTTCTTCCTCTTCTCCTTTACTCTTTTGCTTTTTTATTTTTTTATAATTTTTTTATAATTTGTTCATATTTTTCCGATATTTTTTTCTTTTTTTTATCATTATTCTTCATTCACACTACTTCTACCTCTTGCATTTGCTTCTCCCTTTTCTTCTCTCGCTTAATCTTTTCCTTCTCCCTATTTTCTCCTCTTTCTTTTTCTTGTCCCTTTTCTTTTTCTCCTGCTTCTTCTTCTTTTCTATCTTCTCTCGGTTCCATATTTCCCTCTTCTTCTTCTTCTTCTTCTTCTTCTTCTTCTTCTTCTTCTTCTTCTTCCTTTTTTTCTTTTTCTCCCTCTTCTTCTTTTCTTCTCTCGTTTCCTCATTTCCCTCCTTTTCTTTTCCTGCTACTTCTCTGTCTCCCCCCCTTCCATACTTTTCTTTTTAAAATGATCTCATCTCTACCAAAGTGCAACTGTTTCCCAGACTATTAAAACCTTTGGCGTTACTGTCTGCACCTCGTGATACATGGACTGAATATGAAAACATTTTCACTGATCGCACTCTTTTTCTAATGCCGGAAGATATTCAGTTAACACATCGATCTGATTAACCGTCTGTAAATTTTGGAACACTCTCTTCCATTTATTCTCTGTTCGAAGAAGAATGAGATTGATTCCGTTTTAGAATCAATGACGAACAACAGCCTACTTACGTTGTGCGTTTCTATAACATGCAATGAAAATTCAAATTCTTCGACAGATTTCTTCAGTTTTCCTTTGATTGAAACCCAGGACATGGCAATGAGGCACCCAGAAGGAACCGAAATCATTAAAACACCGAATTGGTGTCTGAGATATCGATCTTTTTAAGCACATCAAAAAATGGAATATATGGTCAGGAGCTGCCCAATCTCGATAAGTGCAAAATCGTTCCCAAGTCATTGTGGATGACGATTTATTTTCCACCCTACAAATCCTGTCTCACAGACGAAAGCCTCTCGCTGACCTATCTCTATCACCATCTCTTGGATATCGGTTATGGTAAGATCTTTGGCCATAATTCCGCTGCATGAGGGAGCGAGAGAAAATCGGAACTGGTGATAGCATAAACAGGAAATGCATCCGATGGCTAAAATAAACAGGACGCACAGGTGTCCTGCGCGGAAGGAAATGCGTGCTTGCGTGGGCGCATGCCGGAAGAAGTGGGCTACATGAGTGGCGTGGGCACATGGCCGGAAGAGGCGTGACCACAAGAAGTTGCGTATGTGACATGCTGGAAAAGGCGTAACCACGTGAAGTTGCGTAGGTGTTCAAATGTTATATAACCGGTCCGATTCTTGGTCTGGACAGAGAGGCTGACTAGACGTTCCCCGAAGATTTCTCTCCGTCAATTCCAATGTGAGCAATACTAATCTCTGTGATTCTTTCACTCTACTCAATCGCCACAACTCGAATAATAAAGACATTTATCTATTTTTATATATAACTGTCCGTCGCCTTATTTGAGCCCAGCAGCAATATACAACACTATATAAGTTTAGTCGGAAAGCGCACAACGCGTGTCAATAGGAAGAAACATTGTTCTCTATGACAACTAATCAGAAACCATCGCCTACAGTCAGAAAAAGCTAGATGAACTTTCTGTGATATTTAATGAGGAAAGAAGGCTTGGGGATTTTATAGTCACAGCGTTTGCATATCACTTGAGGAAAGAGCTTTGGCCTTACTTCCGCTGCATCAGTGTGTGAGCGGAAATCGGAACTGGTGATACCATAAACAGAAAATGCATCTTGTGGCTAAAATGAACAAGACGTAGAGGTGTCCCGAGCCTTGAATAAACGGGAGGCACAAGTGTCCTGAGCGGAAGGAAATGCGTGCTTCCGTAGGCGCATGCCGGAAGAGACGTGAGCACACAAAGTTGCGTAGACAACATACCGGAAGAACGTGTAATCACGTGTAGTCGCGTAGGTTTTCAAATGTTATGTAACCGGTCCGATTCTTGATTTGGAGAGAGAGGCTGTCTAGATGTTAACCGAAGATCAATTTATGATTAGAAAAAAGGAATTCCTACGTATCCAAACGAATTACTGAACCGTGTGAGAAAACTGTTATTGCATCATTAAAAAGTGAAATAGAAATTTAAAAATGTTATACAATGTAGTTCGCAAACTACCAGTTTCCCTGGAAGAAGTAAAAGTAAAAGCAGAACAAGACATGTTTATTTAAAAAAAAAAAAAAAAAAAAAACGAAAAGAAAGTAAGAAACATAGATAATTTTAAAAATGTAATCTAGACTTGAAGGCTTACTCGCTATGTAACGGCATCTGATGTTTGTACAAAGAGTAATGATACCTATCATATTACAAAAGCGTCTATTAAATGAATTTTATAATGGACGTCCGGGAATTTCAATGATGAAATCTCTTATGAGAAACTAAGTATATTGGAACAAAATGGATCAAGATATTGAAAAAAATAGTAAAAGCCTGCAGAGGTTATACTCTGGCAGCAAAATCATCTACCTCGAAATTACAGTCTTGGACAGAGACAGATATTCCGTGGTCAAGATTGCACATATATTTCGCAGATCCAATAAACAACACACATTATCTTGTGGTAGTAACAGTGGCGTAGCTAGGGGGGGCGGACCTCCCCGGGTACCAACACAGGAGGGGTAACACAATGTCACCCCCAACAAATATTTTCAACCAGGCTAAGGTGCCAAAAATAGTCTGAAAGTGGTAGAGACACAGGGTTTCGCAGGCTGGCATATGAACCCCCAGAAATAATTTATGACCACCCCAGTTTTGTCCCCGCGTCAGAAATTTTCTAATAAATTATCAGGAAATTTGTGAGTAAGAAAAATAGCAATGTTTTCATCTTTTGATTTGAACTGATTATTTTGTGGGATTGGATTTTGTCTTGGATCATACATGTAAACAGTAACGTACCGGTCAGTAGAGTAAAGTAGAGATAGAGCATGTATGAAAATTTAACTACAGCTAACCATTCAGCATAGGGTGAATCGGGGTCATTGGGGTGACATTTGAGCGGACCACCTCGGGTGACGTTTACTCTAGCTACGCCACAGTTTAGTAGATAGCTTTACTAAGTGGCCTAAAATTTGTAAGTGCAAAGAAAAAATAACAACTTCCACGGTTACAGTGAAATTTTAAACAAACTTTTTGCAAGATATTGTATTCCGGATGGCATAGTCTCGGATAACATTACAAAAATCAGTGATAACGAATTTAAAAAATTCTGCAAAATTTTCCCAATTAAACATATTACTACCCCGACGTATCACCCAAGGTCAAACGAACAAGTTGAACGATTCTGTGGGTACCTTTAAGAGAGCATTGAAAAAAAAAAACAAGTAGTGAAAAAGTGAGTGAAAAGCAATACAAAATTTCTTGAGCGTGTACCGGATAAGGAATACAAATACACCGACAGGCATGTCGGAATTGATATTAGCAAGAAAAATTAAATCAGTGTTCGACAAGTTGTTACCAGGTCAAAAAAGAATAAGAACGGATAATAAAAGTTCACAAATTTTTTAAAAATTGGCGAAAAGGTGTTTTTCAGTGCATATAAAATGGAAAAGAATTGTGCTAATACGGAGTAATAAGAGGTCGAATCAGTTAAAAGAAAACGTTTACTGTAGAAAGACCCGCAAGAAAGAAGAACCTATGCAAGTACCGTATGATACTTTTGACGTAGCAACACCAAGAATTCGTTGAACGTACAAGTAGGATTACCAGAAGGCAATGTACCAAAAAATTAGGGATTGACCCAGAATGAATGAAATATAAAGATCAGTACGTAGACGAAATCGTCAGAGAGAGGAGGGCTGAATACTAAAAAATAAAATATTTAGTAGTGAAAAATTTGAAAAAATATCAAAAGTTAGATGTTGAAGAGTAAATAAGACACCTTCGGCAACAAAAATGAACTAGGCAAGATGCCTTAAATGAAGAAGTCCGTTGTAACCACTCGAGGATAATTTCTAACATACTTCACGTCGAATGCCTAAGCAAAACATTATATTATAACCGCTAAGAGTGAGTTATAATAGGGTAGAAAGTACAGTTGGTTTTACTCGGGTGTTAGTTTAGTACAATACATTTTTCATTAATTCTTTTGGAAAAATTAAAAGTTTTATTATTTAACATACAAAATACTCCCACCATTTTAAAAAAACAATTTAATGATTAAAATAACAAATACTTATTTAATAAAAGTACAGTATTGTTGTTTTTTTTTTCTTTTTTTGCATATCTTATCTTTAAATTCTGATATACATGAGAACTAGCAGCATGGCCCCGCGTTGCCCGTGCTTGATTCAAAAATTGTACGACTCATACAGCAATCGCTATGACTTGACTTAAAATAGTTTTGCCCTTCCTTGCCTTTAAAGGAGTGCCCTTTGCCGTGCCTTACTTCTTGCCTATCTCACACTGCAAATTTTTTCTAAGCTCTATACTAAACACTAAATCTGTTACGAAAAAAGAACTAAACAAAATGAACACAAAACGATCAGCTTTAAAAAAGGACTCGTAACCGGAAAAATCGAATGAAAAAAGAATGTTAACAACAAATACTTTTTCACACCAAAACCAGTTCTGCGGAATCAGAATAAACGTTGAGTTTAAGCATGCGAATGAGCCAATTGGAGTAAAGTGCTATACAGATTTAAATTTTTCCCACTTGTGACGAATGCAGCTATCGATATTTTTTGCATGCTAGTTAAGATTCGTGTCAGTTAGCTGTTGGCTCTCACGCTGGCCAATAGAATTTTCCTGCCTATTCGTGGCAGCCAGCGATTAGTTCTCACTCTGGCCAGTAGAAAATGGCCGCAAACTACATGAAAACTGCCGTAGAAGCATGAAAAAATGGATTATTTCCACTATCGATGGGAGTTGGGAAATGCAAAGTCGGTCTTGGGATTCCAGCTAACTTGGAGCATGTGCATGTAAATTTTGGTGCAAATCGTCGAAAATTGCGGCCGTGCATTCGTTACACACACACACACACTCACACACACACACACACACACACACACATCCTGCATTTTATAGGTAGAGATTCAGTTTCAAGTTCGCCCTGCATTTGCGAGAACTATAAACAAATCACAAGTCCAGACGCTTCAAAAAGGTATTATTTGGCCCTAGAAAGAAATATTTACGTATGGCCAGTTGTATGTGTCATACCCAAGAGTAAAAAAATCCTAAGAATGTATTTTTCTTGTTTAAAAGAAAAAAAATTGTTAAAAAATATTGTTTACCATGAAATCCTATAAAATTAAATAAAATTAAAGAAATTATTAAACCGAGAATTAGGCTTTTTGGCAAAGTATTTTTCCAAACAAATCAACATAATCAAATTTCATCGATTGGTTTGCGAAATTGAACGAAAAGTAGAGTTTGTAAATGTCAACAAAAATGTTAGCGATTTCAATCATACCAAACACGGAATACTCGTATATTAACATGAAAAGATACTGAGGAAAAATAGATTCATTCGATGTCAAGATTAATCACTAATTCGTGTATGCCATTGCTAGAACCGGCTTTAATGCTCCAGTTGGAGAGGCTTGGTGATAGTAGTCGTGGAGGTACAGTCCTATGGGGGTAAGGGAAATATGTGATCCAGTGACGCTATATCGAGTCTAATTTGTTACCTCTATTATTCTATGTGCTATAAAATGTTTTCATAAGAAACCTTAGACATTCAATTATTGAAGTATCTAATCACTAGAGCTGCATAATTTCCTGTGGAGAATTGATGGCAGTGAACTCACAAAGTGCGAGCGAAACGTTAGCTTTATTTTTAAACAAAGCTTATGCTGAATATGTTTTCATTCTGGTCAAATATAATTCATAGTAGTAGGACTGTAAATATAAACACAGTAGGGAGAGTTTCAAATGGGCAGAGGATTTCAAGAGTAGTAGAAAATTTTTTAAAAAATAAAGAAAAGAAAGAAATTTTCTGAATGATGATTCTTTACCACGAAGTCCTATAAAATTAAATTAAAGAAATTAGGAAACCATGAAGTAGGGGTTTTTTTTCAAAGTATTTTTCCAAACAAATCAGCCTATTCAAAATTCATCGATTGGCTTGTGAAATTGAACTAAAGTTTGTAATTCGCAACAAAAAAATCTTAGCGATAACTTCATCAATCCTAAATACTGTGATGATTTCAAGACTTGTCAGCATCTTGGAAATAATGAAATCTTCTTTCCATAAAGATGCCTGGAAAGATCGAGAGCCCAAATAGGTATCTGGGTAGAACTAACCAACCAACCAATCATATGACAGTATTACGTAAAGAGGAGGAGGCCAACCTCAATTTAATAATTCCTCTTTTGTTTCTCTCTTTCACAATTTGTCTTATTTTTTTTTTTCCTCTGGATTTTCATTTATCCTCTGGCCACCATTTTCTTTATTTTTACTTCTCCCTTTTTCCTCTTCTCTATCTCTTTCTTTCCCCTTCTCTCTATCTCTTTTCTCACTTCTTTATCTCTTTCTTTCCCCTTCTCTTTATCTCTTTTCACACTTCTTTATCTCTTTCTTTCCCTTCTCTCTATGAATTTTTTCTCCTTTTATCTTATATTATCAACCTCGCCTTTATATCTCCCCACCCATTACGAATTCTGTTCCATCCCATATTTCCCGCGCCAATTGTAGAAATGTATATTTGGCTCTAAAATTGATTCCCGATGTTTATTTCCACTAGTTCGCACCTATTCAATGCCTATTTTGAAAAATTGTCTGAGAGCAATCACACTTTGCCGGTCTCTAAACAAAAACAAGGCCGCGCCTCTTCTTCGTTGAAATGTGGCGGGTGAGCGGGGGGGGTAGACTTTTCTCCTCTTCTTAGCTCTTTTACAAACAACGCTAGTAGCCATAATTACGATCAGTACGATTCATTACAGGTGGAGGAAAAGAAGGACTACTTGCAAGTGGAGGAAAGGAACGTCTTTCTGGAGACGGAGGAAATAAACGACTATGTAAAAGGAGAAGAAACGAAGTGGTGGGGGGTAAAGGAAGGCCTTTTGGAGGAGGAGAATGAAAAAAAGGCAGTATTTGGAGGGGAATAAAAAAGGGTCATTCTGTAGGTGGAGGAATGCAGCGAGAAGGAAGGAAGTGTATATGGATATATAGAGGGGAAATGGAAGGAAGGTGCATTTGGAGGAAGCGGAAATTAAGGAGTCTTTGGAGGGAAAGGAAAAGAAAGGAGTCTTTGGAGGGAAAAGAAAAGAAAGGAGTCTTTGGAGGGGAAGGAAAAGAAAGGAGTCTTTGGATGGACAAGAAAAGAAAGGAGTCTTTGGAGGGAAAAGAAAGGAGTCTTTGGAGGGAAAGGAAAAGAAAGGAGTCTTTGGATGGACAAGAAAAGAAAGGAGTCTTTGGAGGGAAAAGAAAAGAAAGGAGTCTTTGGAGGGAAAAGAAAAGAAAGGAGTCTTTGGAGGGAAAGGAAAAGAAAGGAGTCTTTGGATGGACAAGAAAAGAAAGGAGTCTTTGGAGGAAAAGAAAAGAAAGGAAAAGAAAGGAGTCTTTGGATGGGGAAAAGAAAAAGGGAAAAAAAGGAGTCTTTGGAGGGGAAGTCTTTGGATTGACAAGAAAAGAAAGGAGTCTTTGGAGGGGAGAAAGAAAAGAAAGGAGTCTTTGGATGGACAAGGAAAAGTCTTTGGAGGGAAAAGAAAAGAAAGGAGTCTTTTGAGGGAAAGGAAAAGAAAGGAGTCTTTGGAGGGAAAAAAAAGTCTTTGGAAAAGGAAAAGAAAGGAGTCTTTGGAGGGAAAAGAAAAGAGAGGAGTCTTTGGAGGGAAAGGAAAAGAAAGGAGTCTTTGGAGGGGAAGGAAAAGAGAGGAGTCTTTGGAGGGGAAGGAAAAGAAAGGAGTCTTTGGAGAGAAAGGAAAAGAAAGGAGTCTTTGGAGGGGAAGGAAAAGAGAGGAGTCTTTGGAGGGGAAGGAAAAGAAAGGAGTCTTTGGAGAGAAAGGAAAAGAAAGGAGTCTTTGGAGGGTGAAATGAAAAAGTATTTGTAGGCGAAATGAAGAAGAGAAGTATTTGGAGCGAAATGGAAAGACTATTCGGAGTGGAAATGGAAGGAGTATTCAGAGGGGTAATGGAAGGTGTATTTAGAGGGGACATGGAAAGAGCATTTAGAAAATAGATTCATATTGCTGCAAACGACTACAAATGACCTAATGTGAGTAAAAAATAGAAATGGATTATATTCTGTCACTCCATTGGTTGTAAAACTGACCTTATTTTGAAAGAAAGGAAACTAAAGCGGGTGTTTCAATGAATTTGCACAAGGATGTAGATATCTATATGTAGATATATATTTCTTTATAAAATGATAAATAATAAATCTTTATAAAAGATAAATAATAAATATTGCATTGTACAGGGCAGTCCAAAAGTCTTGTCACCCATACATAATATAATTTTCTATTTCAGGTGGTTGATTTGAGCTGGTATAGTTTGGAAGGGAAACTAATGATTTGAGACAGCGACAATGGAAGTGAATAAACTTAATCCAGAACATGTGCTTTGTATTACTGTATTGTTTGTCCTTTTATTGTCCTCATTACTTTTTGGTAGCGGGTGACAAGACTTTCAGACCACCCTTCACTTGGTTCAGATAGGTTTATAATCTTGTAAATAAATATTCCTGACGGGAGTAAAGGTCATACAAAATAATAGCGAAGTGAAGGGAAAACCCGTCCTTCTGACCCAACGTTTTTTGCGAGTACGAAGCTTAAAGTTTTCGAGGAAAACTATTTTGAAGAATAGAAGAAAAAAATAATTATTTGGAAGGGGATTGTAAATTATAAAAGATAACCTTACTTGACGGATTTATTCAACCCATTATGCAAGATGATCTGAAGATAACTAGAGGTCCTACTGGGTTTTAGTATGGGTGAGCACAATTGTGTTGAAGGTAAACTGCATGGACTGAAACACAGGGTGAGTAAAAGAAAGCAATAAGAACAGTCTATCTATCCATTGTAAGAAGACATGACGTGCGATTGTGAGCAAAAGGGACAATCGAAGTTGTGAGCTACGAATTGGGGATGTCAAAATAGAGAAATCTTAGAAAAACAGACGCCGGAAAATGTGACATGCGTATTGGAACAGCAAAAGCCGCCTTCCGGAATTTTTATTTTTCAAGACAAATATGAAATATAAAAATTTAGAAACAAAAAATGTGTTGAAATTCTATGTGGTGTCTATCCTCCTATATAACAACAGGCTTACGGCCATACCACGTTGAAAGACCGGTTGCCGTACGACTACCGAAGTTAAGCAACGTCATGCCTGGTCAGTACCGACAAGGGTGACCGCTTTGAAATACCAAATGCTGTAAGTGCAGGTGGTGTAATGCTTAGAATTGGAAATCAGAGAGCCAAGTTCAAATTCCATTCGGTTTCGTTGTATTCAGTTAGGCTCAAATAACATTGGGAAACATATCAATTCACCTCTTCCCCCCAGCTATGGGTTACATAGTAGGACTAGCATAAGTTAATCATTATTATCTCTCCAAAACTCTTACAATCCCAAAAACATTTTCTGGCTTTGAACAACGTACAACCTCAGTGAAATTCTATTAGCCATCATCAAGGATAACTTTTTTTTTTAATAATTTTTTTGACTAAATGCGTAATTTGTTTAAATATATTTCTAGAGTGATGTGAATTAATTTTTATTTTCCAAACACGGTAATGGCTAATAGAATAGCCGAAAACGATCGGAATCTTAGAATAGAATATTATAGAATATTTTGAAAATTTTAGTTACATTATCTACAGAAAAGAAAATATTTATATGAACACAAGAAAAATTCGATAAAGATCTCAGTCGCAGTACTTTGTCAGACGTCTTCAATGAAATTCGTACCAAAGAGCGATATATATATATATATAACGTCATCCACAGTTTCGCAGTTCATCAGTGTGGCTAGACATCCGGTTGCCTAAACTAGGATCGAAACCAGACTGAATTGGTGTCAGTCGGAGATTCTAACCCTTAAGCCGTTGGCGCACGGTAGGGATGAAGTTGGATTTTAGCATATTTATTTTTAGAAACACGCCCAGTGACCGACAGTGACTCAATTCGCTTTTGCGAAGAGTCTCGCTATATAGCTATAATCGTCAATGTTTGCCAACCCACACCTCCTCCCCAGAGAGCTCAACATGTATTGAACAATAAAAATATTAAAAAATTAAGATTTTCAGAAACACTGGCTTCTATATTAATATACTTTCGTTTTTATTATTTTAGTTAGATTCCTCGACTAGTTTCAGCCAACATGGCGATCATCAGGAGAGAAAAAAATCTGCAGTGAACTACAGAAATCAATGTCTTCATGAAGAAATTGAACTTTTATCTAGTTTTCATTTGTACTTTTTATTTTTTAACATTAATTTTGGTCAGTCAGACACTGCAATAAATGAGGGTTTTTATTAAATAGGACCGGTGCGTGACATCCCTGAACATCCCAACCGCCGAGGGGAAATAATTGGAACCCTCTCCGCTTTGTGACCATCGCTATGTAAATGTAGGTAACTCTACGGATTCATCAATATATGATCTTAGCATGATGGAAAATGTCTCAAAATTAATAAAAACAAAGTTTTATCGTCAAAGTTTTATGCTATCAATAAGAGGAAAGGATTTTTTAGTATTAAATTATATATTTTTCATTTTTTTAGAATGTTCGAAAAAAAAACAACGAAATTTTAAAGCACAGGCTACTAGGAATCCTTTTAATGAATCTATTATTATTATTATTATAATTATTATTATTTATTATTTATAATATATAATTTATATTACTTATATTTTATGGATAAAGATAGAACTTATTTATAAATAATTTTTTTTTATCGTCTATTTTACTCATCAAAAACTAAAATAGAATTTTATTAATTTATATATACGCCATTATTTGCAACGACTTACCATTTATCAGGCAGCTCTTAATTACAATTTGATTTGTACAATTTGCTGCAGGTTTTAATGCAAAAAATGTATCCGACGATCTCTTGAATCTAGTGTTCATAAGAGAAAATTTTCATTTTACAAAGCGTTTTACACCGAATAAAAAAAAATCTGTTGGTACAAGGTTGAGTGGGGGGGGGAGTAGAAGAGAATAGACTAAACGAGTTCCAAACTGTTTTCCTGAGTTAGTCTTGATGTAGGTGGCCTTGTTTTGTCATAGGGAGGAAGAACTTTATTTTTCATTAATCCACTGTGTATGCTGCTACTTCCATAGACAAAACTAAGGTAAGTTAGTGTACACTAATTTCATTGTTAACTGCCGCGTATGATTAGTTGTTAAGATGTTACATTCGCCATTACAATTTTTTTCCCAAGAATGGAAATGATCACTCAACCTTACATTTGGAATGGTGTTAAAATTCCGACTTGTTCTTGTGACGCTTTTCGTATTGATGCAAAACATAAGAATAATCCTCTTTTCCTTCTATCGTAATGTTTATGTTAGTTATTCCCAGAACTTATTTTGCAAGAGAATACTTTCAGTTACCAAAAATTTGCTCTGAATCGTAAAATAAAAAAATAAAAAATACAGTAAAACTAAGACATTATTTAATTAGAAAAGTTTTTAATTGCTTTTACAAACAAGATATATCAAGGATACTATTGTCTGAAGAAAATATTTTTCAATGAATAATGAATTTTTGCAAGAACTGTTTTTTTAGAACATTTTAAAAAACTTTCACATCTTTTAAATTTCTGTATCAATTTGCAACGGTCAGGTGATATTGTTTTTAAGTAAAAAACATTTACTAATCATAAATGGAAAAGCTTATTACAATTCACTGACCCGCAATATTTGAAAAAAGAATTTTTAATTTATTTTGTATGCGTATAAACATACCCATTCTCTCTGATGTCCATACACGACATTATCAAAAAATAAGAGCGAAAACTATAATAAATTTAAAGCCAATGTAACTAAATTAAAAAAAAAGAAAATTACATTACTGAGAATATTTTCATAAATTAAGATTACTGTGTAGTTAAAAATTATATACAAAGGCACTCACGTTATATTCTTCAAAAAACTTTAACAGATATATCCACCGTAGAAGGAATTTCGATAAATTTCCGATGTCAGTCAAGCTGTCAGCCTGTCAAAACCTTAAATGAACAATTACCTCAGTGTTAAAAAATGCATTTCTGCGACATTTTAAACTAAAAGTAATATTTTTCTCAAGTGAGATTAAATGAACTTTAAATTAGTTAATATTCCTCAAATAAGGTTTCATAAAAATATATTTTATTTTTGAAAGATTGTTTAATAAAGAGAATTATACTGAAATATCAGATGACTTAAAAAATGGCGCTAAAATCAGCGACTGTCATTGATTTCAAAACGAAAACTCCTTCCAGTCAATTTAAATTAATTTTGAAATACAACAAAGTATGTTTTATTGGAAATATTAAATTTAATCTATTAGCTTTAAATTAAAACTAAAATAAAATCTTTCTGAAAGATTTGTCATTTTTTAAAAAATAATTTTAAACCCTAGCTAACGCGCTTCTGCGGAGGTGCCTAAAAAATTGATAACATATCGAGAATGTAACTGTTTATAATGGATTCTTTAAGAAATGATGTCTCTTTTGTTGTAATAAATAATAATCGTAAAAAAGAAAAAATACGACTAATGACATTTACACTTTATTAACTCATTGATTGCCAACCAAAAATCAGTATGGGGTCTGTGTTATTTATGAACAAAAAAAATAAAATAATATCATCCAGATCAATGGACGTTTTTTTAGAGCTAATATGTTTTGAGAAAATGTCCGCCCCAATTTTTTTCCTAACTCCACAAAGAATGTCACCACCTCTCATTGGAACAATCTGTTCATCTCAAATAAAGAACTTCTAGTTGAAAATCTAAGGCAATTGAAACTGACCGACAAACGCATGGCCAGCTTAGATATAAAATCCCTCTACACCAACGTCCCAGTCGGAAAATGCCTAAATCTCATAAAAAAAGGCATAAAAGATAAAGCACTCTCTAAAAACAGCTAAAATAATAAAAACCCTGACCTCTCATCAATCAATACTACTTCACATTCAATAATGATTGTTAGAAACAAAAACTTGGATTACCAATGGGATCGCCTCTCAATGCAACGTTGGCATGTATCTTTTTAGAACTTCTCAAATCCGGATCTTTCCAGAATATTTTACTCAATCAATCAACGCACGTCTTTTATATTGACCATGATCTACTTATATATCCTAGTGATACGGATTTACCTGACCTAGTCGATCAACTAAACAAAGTCGGACACACAATGGAATATACATACGAAATGAAGAACACCATTCCTTACCCTTTCTATATATCAAGCTACACCATGTTAACAACAGTTTAAAATTCGTTGGTGCCCACCGGAAATTAAAAAAATAAATTTCTATTCCCATCATTATATATATATATAGTTCGCAGAGAGTACGGTTTCACTGCATCACAGCTCTTCAGTGCAAATAGACATCCGAATGCCTCAAGGCTGTATTGAAACCCAACCAATTTGGTTTCAGTCAGAGTCTCTACCACTGTGCTATCTTAATTCGACAGAGTGAATCAGCCAAATCTAGCATATTGTTTTTATAAATGTAAACAAACACCAAACAATCGGAGTGCTCTATTCATTTTACTGAAGAGCTTCGCATTAACGCAGGTGGCTGTTGTTTTTAGAATTAGCTTGTCGCTCAATAGTGCTCAATTGAAAATATATTTTCAAGAGCTAAATTATGTCATACGCGCTATTTTCTAGCAAGTAGACGCTTAATAGAAGGATTATTACGTGCTAAAAATGTGATTCACATTTATTTTAAAATTACTGCCATATATTGGTAATGAAATAAATTATGCAAATATTACTAATATTGTAGTCGAACCATTTATTTCTTTGAGCATTTTTATATCTACCATACATTTATAAAGCATATGAGAAATAAAAACTGCTCGAAGATGTATCGTCTGGCTTTCAGAGAGAAAGCAGACGCTGCGTTGGGCTCTTACTAATTTGTTTGTTTTTTTTAATTTTAGAGAATAATTTTGCTACATTTCGATGCGTGGGAAAGCAGCTGCGTTTGTTTTTCGTTCAAAACAGATAAAAGGGTTTCACTCCAAATTCCGAGCAGTGTATTTGGAGCCTACCAGTAGGTTATTTAAGGAGGTCCTTGGAATTGTTTTTTTCGGAGATGACGAACAGCTGCTGCACGAACCTCGATCGCCCCGGGTTAGGAAAAAAAAACAACGCAGAAGAATTTTGACAGCCACCAGACGAGAATTAAAAGGAACATCAAAGTCACTCCTACAC